GAAACGTTTCATTAGAGAAGAACCCGTCCAGAAGACCTATACAATTTTTTTTGGTTACTTTGTATATTTTGTTGCATTGTGTGTTTGCAAGAAGGTCCTTGACCAGAGCTAATGCTGTTTGGGGGGCCATAGCATGAAAAAGTTTGGGAACCCCTCATCTAGAAATTAATTAGTCAGAAGAAGCAGATTTTATGTTAAAATGACCTGCCGTACATGTACAGACTGAGTGACTGACGGAGCATGTGCCACTGTGCTGATGCATTACTCAAGCAAAAAGTAGTTCCCTCCAACCATAAGACTGGAATAGTTTAGTTATTGTCCACTACTTTCCTGTTAATGAATTATGTGAAATAACTAAAGTATCAAAGTATAAATTTTTTGATCTTAAATATCGATTCTAGAACAAAGTTCAGGTATCGGTGGTATCGATATCGATGTGCACATCACTGGTTGCTGAATGAAATTCAGAATCTGAAGATGGGGTTTTAATCCTGTAGTCTGAGGTAGTGATGAAATGTTAATAAATGCTTTTTGAATAAGTTCTGTGGGATTTGTCAACAATTTCAACTTTTTTTTAATCTCATGTTTTCTATTTCCTAAACCTGCACATTTCTGATGTTCATAGATTTGGTTATTTTTAGCAGGACATTTTTTTTTCTCCTAAATGTCTGCGAGCACAAGCTGCATATGATGATGTCATAGTTAGGTACAGAAAACAAGTGGAAAAGCAACTAAAACCCAAACCTGAAAGACCCTCTGCTCAGTTTTAGAAGAAAACCTTGCTCCTGTTGTTGAAAACACTTTGAAGTGATGAACACATGACTGTGATGAAGCATATTAAAACACTGTAGACAAACCTTGTACCAGCCTACCTTGTGTTTGGTGCTGATAAGTCAGAGTACACATGTCCTGCTGTGTTGGCTCATCGGTCATGTTGTGCACCATCTTCTGAGGACTGGCTCTTTTAAAATGTTGCATCTTAAGAAGTACTTTGTCTTTTGCTCTCCAGTCTCTGTCAGTTTGTGCTTTCTGCTCTGAGATGAAACAAGTCTCTCCTGAATCAGATGYAGTTCCTGTGCAGAGCACAGCTCGCTCAGCTTCAGCACCAGCAGGCTGTGTGGCTGCAAACTGGCACCCGGAATCACCTCCCAGTTTGTTGCTGCCGTCTCCTCGGACTGCCTGACTCAGAGCCTGACGTCGTTCTGCTTCCTTTGTCTTTCTGCCTGCTTCAGCTGCTCTCTTACGGTTACGCTTCAGCAGTTTCGGGCAGCGGGTTAAATCCACAAAGTCCTGGTCCGAGTCGTCCATGTTGGAAGGTGCTTTAACAGATGTTTCCAGCTGTGAAGAAAGGCAAAAMCCAGAGGCTTCCTGCTGGATAAATGTCGTGTGAATGAATGAGAACACAATTAGATGTCTGAGAAAAAAGTACACATATAATATGTACTGTTAACTATTAACTTAGTACTTCCTGAATAGCTGGACAGGTTAGCCTGCTAGTTCGTGCTAACTTATATTCTTACCGAGGTTTGGCTCTTTCATTGCTCGAAGAGACTCTTGTTGGAAGTATTTTTCGTGCATTTTGTAAATAAATAACACGTTTTATTACKTATTTACCTAATACACAAGAACCAATTACATTTGTCTGGTTTCAAACCGGGTTTAACTGTTGTGCTTTGTTCCTGTCACGTGACCTGACATTAACCAATAGGGGAGGGTTTCACAGTCACGTGACTCGCTTCTGCTCATGGCAGAAATAGTGTACAGAAATTAATTTTTCTGGAGTTTTCTGAAAACTTTCAATTGTTAATGAAGTATTTAAGACAGACTCGATTAAATGAAAGAATATAGGTTTTTCTTTGAGAGCTGTTCCAGTCCACACTCCACACCAGCAGGTGGCGTAATGCACCTGAACGTTGTTTGACAACCGCCAAAAAATAACGAAGAAGAAGAAACAAACATGGCGGTGGTTGAAGCAGAATTGTGTTGTTTAGATAATTTTCCGTCACGTGTCAGTCCCCTGGATGTTTTGATAATAAAATCTAACAGAAATATGGTTTTACAACATGACACGGACACACCGACCGTCCTCTTCAGCCCACAGCGGCCTCAGGCCGGCACCAGGACGGACATTTTGCTTCGTGTTCACCCAACCACCGAGCTGGAGACATGGACCTGCAGCGGAGGAGGAAAGTCTCCTGACGGCGAGTCTGACCACCGCCTCCGGCTCTTTACCAGCAGGTTCTTCCACAGGCACCACCGGTTCCAGCGGCTCAAAGTCACCGGTACCGTCAGACCTCTGGAACCGGTCAGCCTGGACAGAGTGGTTGTAGGAGCGGGCAGCAGGCAGAGCCTCGGCTGGGCCGGAGCCGAGCAGTTCACCGGCGGCCTGCTGGAGCTCTGCCGCTCCGGACAGGTAGTGCTGGCCCGGCAGGGAGACCCACTTCTGCTGCCCCAACACCCGCTGTTTGGAGACACCCAGCGACAGGTGAGGCTCAGGAAGTTTAATTTAACAACTCATCACTTTGTTCAGTTTGTTTTAATGGACCAACAACAACCAGCTCTGTGAAAACAAACACAACTGACAGTTCACCACATGGTGTAGAAAACAGGCCGGTTGTAACAGGACTGTGTAAATGTTTACATTTATACAAGTATACAAGAGGAACAAGTAGAACGTTCTGGAATGGTCATCTCAGTCCCCAGACCTGAATATTATTGAAAATCTGTGG